GCTTAAATTGACTGTGGAAATTATGTGTATTACAAAGTTGAATTGAGAAAGAATAAACTAGTTTTATTTAAGAAATGACTTGTATCGCTAAATTTTCTTCGGAAAGAATTTTTACGGAAAATTAACAAACGAACACTGAGGCGTAACAGTAATATTTATACCAAAACTTGTGGCATTACAGAGAGATGTAAATTATGCTAATACAATAGTTGGTGCCAGTTATGCCTTTTCAACTATTGTTCCGCCATATATAAACAAGTATTACAATTAAGTTATTTTATGAATTGCGATTTCTTACAAGAATGCACCATCACTCCTTTACGTGCACGTACTTGGTTTGTTAATTAATTCTGTCACTATATTCAGTGAGCTCGGAACCTGCTGGTAAAAACCAACCACTCGGAGATCCTGTAGTTACTCAACTAGTACCCCTCAACCTCGTAAAGTCGACAGGAACTAGGAGAAACTAAGGGATCAGCTCACCTGTTCCCGCCCTACGAGCGACGGTTGGTGAACAGGTAGAACTTGTATTTTTAATTTTGAAAGCAGCTTTCACGGGTAGTACATGGCGGCTCGAGCAGGATGGTCTCGTTTTGTGTTTCTTTAGGCTAGAGAATTCTTCAATTTTCGTTTTTTATCAAAATAACTAATTAGTAAATGCAGTATATGACCACGAACGTGTAACAGGTAAATAGAGAGACATAACCATTGGCGGTGTGCATGATAAAACTGTACAAAGAACTAAGTGTTAACCGTTTGACCGTTATAAAATAATTCAAAACAATAAGGCTTAGGTCTGCAAACAATTCAACGTCGCTGAATTTGTTGCTCGGGGTTAAGATAATTACATATTCCAATTTGCTGGACTGGTAGATGGATACTGTTTCAATACGATTAGTCCTACACGTATATATTATAAAAATATGCAATACAAGTTTAGCAGTTTGAAGCTGGCGATAGTTGAGAGTTGTTAAAAATATGCCCTGTTTTGTTTTGTTTTTTTTTCTTTCTTCTAGTTGAACAAAGCTGTTAATACTTTCTAACAGAATGTCAAAGCTTCAGCTTGCTGGTAGCATCGCGACATTTGCGGCGGCTATATTCGTCATTATCGCTTTTTCCACACCTTACTGGCTAGTGTCGGACGGTAAACAGCCAGGCGAAAAAAAATTCGAGAGGCTGGGTTTGTGGGAAGCTTGTTTGGATAAGTTTCACGATGTCAACTACCGCTATGACATTGAGTTCAGCGGCTGTCGGTGGATCTTTGATGAAGAATATAACATCATTATCAAAATCTTAGAACCAGGTGAGTGCTTTATACTCAACTTGTAGTACAAGTTGCATTGTTACATGATTTAGTGATACTTAAGTGTTAGAGGTACTATTAATATTAGTATTGTACTCATTTCTCAGCTTGTATTGTCACCCTTTGTTGCTGTAAGTGTTACTGTTAGAGCTGTTAATATTATACTCACTGCTCTGCTTGTATTGTCACCCTTTGTTGCTGTAAGTGTTACTGTTAGAGCTGTTAATATTATACTCACTGCTAAGCTTGTATTGTCACCCTTTGTTGCTGTAAGTGTTACTGTTAGAGCTGTTAATATTATACATACTGCTAAGCTTGTATTGTCACCCTTTGTTGCTGTAAGTGTTACTGTTAGAGCTGTTAATATTATACATACTGCTAAGCTTGTATTGTCACACTTTGTGACTGTGAGTTAGAGCTATTCATATTATAGTGTATCTAACGTTTGCGTGTACCGTAAACAAGGTACACTCCATCAGTTATTGTTGGTTTTAATAATAATATTGGTAAGAATGTTAAGTAGCTAGTTTTATTATTTTAATTTTTATTACTATTATACTTTTACTATAAAAATTGTTTTGTATTGTAAGCTTAGTATCTTGGCTTAAGACTAACCTAAATTTCCTAAGCTGGTTGAACCTCGACAGATATTATTGGGCTTATGGCCGAAAATATCGTTAAAGATTCGTTCTAATATTTATAGGTAAGAAAAAATGTGTTTAATTAGCTATAGCGTTGTCAAGTTGATTTTAACTTTTGCTCTAAGTAGGTAGCTTGATGTGATCGGACAGTAATAGTAATTGTCCATTTGATAAAATTATATGTGGAAGGCTCAGTATATTGAGGTCTGACTTTCAGTAGAATGTAAAACCCTCGCCTAATTTGTAGATATCGAGTGAAACCTTCACTTACGTTCTTCTATAGAGTGAAACCTTCACTTACGTTCTTCTATAGAGTGAAACCTTCACTTACGTTCCTCTATAGAGTGAAACCTTCACTTACGTTCTCTATAGAGTGAAACCTTCACTTACGTTCTTCTATAGAGTGAAACCTTCACTTACGTTCTTCTATTCGTAGAAGAACGTAAGTGAAGGTTTCACTCTATAGAGGAACGTAAGTGAAGGTTTCACTCTATAGAAGAACGTAAGTGAAGGTTTCACTCTATAGAAGAACGTAAGTGAAGGTTTCACTCTGCAGAAGAACATAATTAAGTTAGTATACACATCTTAGCAAAAAACGAACTCTGTGTTAATCGTGGAAATCTAGCTAGACACAAAGTCAATGTCAAAGTTTACCGAGACATTATCAAGACACAAAACCATTGCCCGCTTTATACAGTGAGTCTATATTTTCACCGGTGGAGAAGAAACGGCCGCGTGCGCACACGTGTGTATATCTATCTATATGTATGTAGTCCCCCGGTGGGACAGCGGTAAGTATTCGGATTTACAACGCTAAAATTGGGAATATTCCGTCTGTCACACATAATCAACACAGCTGCCTGCAAAGCTACACATTCATTAAGGGATTAGGAACTGGGTGCTACATCCCCACTACGCCCCAGATCCCACTGCCACTCACATGATAGTTACATCATCATCCACCCTTGATTTCTATCAAAACAATTACACCCAACGTCCACCATTTTCTGTTTAGTTCTAATACTACATGATATACATTTAGTGCTGTAATAATATTTATATATGATGTTATAAACTGTAAACCGACATTAATAGTACGGGTACTCCTACCTCCTCTCTTACAAAGAACCTTATCTTTTGTGTAAATTTAGTGCTGTAATAATATTGATATATGATGTTATAAACTGTAAACCGACATTAATAGTACGGGTACTCCTTCCTCCTCTCTTACAAAGAACCTTATCTTTTGTGTAAATTTAGTGCTGTA